TCAAAAGTAAACAAATGATGTCATTGTCCAATAAATGTCCAACTAGCCATTCTAATATGCAGTCATGAATGGGTTGACATTATTTATACAATTATTACAGTATTGCAGTAGTCTGCATAACAGTAAATCCTCTATTTTTTATTTGAATAAAAATTCCTAATAGAAAGCAAGAGTAATATCAGAGGGGCCTGGAGACATGACTGATGAAGAAAGAAAATGTTATTTTAGAGCCAGGAATGTCTGCATTGTTCATTCTGGACCTTATTTTGAAACTGTCATTCTTTTCATTTTCGTGAAATTGGCCAAATTACAAATTTCTGACGATATTGGGTAGTTGAAATTGGTAAATGGGCAGTTTCTTGTACTCAATCGATAGAAAAAACGGAGTTCTAAAGAAATAACTACGAGTTTGGTTGACTGGAACAATGTAATTAGCCGAAAATAGGGCTCAAAGTGGGCGAAATCGCTGATTTGTAAATATCGCTGAGGTCGCTAACTTCGCAAGAGCGTAATTCCATCAGTTTTCCATCAAATTTCGTTTTTTTTGTGTCATTACAATTGGGAAGAGATTCTCTATCATTTCATAAGAAAAAATAATTTTTTTTTTTTGAAATTTTGCGACACCAGGAGACACCTCAGGATTGGGGGTTGCGACAGTCAAAGGGTTAACCCTTTGAGGGTCGAGAGGCCCTCTCTCAAACTCGTTCTCAGGGTCGAAAAATTTTCAAAAAAAAAAAATCTTATGAAATGATAGAGAATCTTTTTCTGATCATAATGACACCAAAAGTATGAAATTTGATGAAAAACTTACGGAATTACGCTCTTGCGAAGTTAGCGGTCTCAAAGTTGGTGATTTCGCCCACTTTGGGCCCTATCTTCGGCCAACTCCAATGTTGCAGTTGACTAAAATCATAGCTATTGCCCCAGAAATCCATTTGTTCTATTGACTGAGTACAAGAATCCGCCCATTTACCGATCTCAACTAGCCAATAAAGTGGTCAGAAATTGGCAATTTGGGTAATTTCACACAAATTTCAAAAGATGCCAATTTCAAAATAGGGTTCAGAATAAACAAGATAGACATTCATATCACTAAAATAACATTACTCACGTCTCTAGGCCCCTCTTACATCACATTGAAAGAAAAATTAGACTCACCAGTTGACGTGTATTGGACACATGACTTGATTTGTTTACTCTTGAATATCGGCAAAAATCGATCATTTTCGCTAATTTGAGCTCAATTTCAAGGTACTTGTCATTGTGAAACCAATCAAAATCATCTTTAATTCTGTAATATATCTTCCATTCTATCAAATGAGACCAAGGAAACAAGAATACAACTATAAATACCATACAAAAGTCACTGTTTTAAACCAACAACACAGTTGAAGTTTTTTTTCTCATTATGCACAGTGTACTTCAAGGTTTTTTTTAATACTGTGCACATTGACCACACAGACCCATTCTTTCAAAATGTAGGCCTACCAGCTTTCTTCCACCAGATTTGAAGGTGCAAGAATTTAGGCATACAAATATGTGACCGACCCTGGCTGCAATGACGTACTTGTACGTGACTGACCCCTCAAAGGGTTAAAAGGGGAGTATTAATACGACATTAAATCAATGAATCCTTGGTGTCTGCCACACTGTTTGCTCTAGCTGGCGCTCATTTTAACTGGTGCTCCCACAAGGTACTAAGTGGACCCAGATTTTTTTAATATGGTGCACACCGAGCGTTAAGACCCATTCTATGCTGACCAGGCATCCCAATCCAATCGACAGGAAGACTATAAAGACATTAATTAGATAACACCTGACAAAAAAAAAAAAATTACTGTAGAAATTATAAAGCCTGCAATAAAGCTACACGATAACAGAAGAAAAAAAAATAATTTTTACAAAATAACTGGCCTAAACCCACCCATCAAATATTTAAAACAACAAAAATGATCAGAGAATAAAAAGAAAAACAAAATTTAGGCAAAAAATTGTGGAAAGCAATAAAGATAAAACATTTCTATTATTTATATACCTACAAACATACTGTAACACACAAAAAATTAACTAATTCATGTTAAGTGCTAAACCCATGGGGAAATTGTTCAGCACAAGAAGTGGTGGAGGCTTGATTCTCCATCTGCTGACCACCCAGACAGATGTGCTTCCTATTTGTATTCACATAGACAAGAGTATGAATAGGAAAACCTATAGGACAACTCATAAAAACATGAAATGTTTTTATGAGTTTGTTTCTTCAGTCCAAGGCAGAGAAAGGTGGATGAGGAGGAGTTTGAGTAATCAGTCCCCCAGCCTGGAGTCAATGTGTTCAATTCATCAGTCTTAGTGGAATACATCCCATAAACTCCAGGTGAAGGGACTGATTACTTCAATTTTCCTCCTCATCCACCTTTCTCTGCACTCGACTGAAGAAGTCACTGACTGGTGAATAGTTTCTAGAATAAAGACACCTAAATGTTGCCCAAGTGTCTCATTTATCAACATGCCAGCTTCCTAAACTATTTATTCAAATTCTGACAGAACACAGCAACATCTTGGAATCTTGATGCAGGGATTTCTTCAAAACTTGCCTAACCTATAGGCATGACCTACTTCTATGACTGGGTTTCTCCACTGCTGACTTTGCCTACCACTGCTTCACCTTATCTATCGGCAGTATATAAGCCCCATCCCTGTGAGTATGTTATGCACTTCTACAAAGATTGATGGATTGAACACATCAACTCAAGGCTGAGGGACAGATTACTTCAAAACTCCTGCTCATCCACCTTTCTCTGCAGTGGACTGAAGAAGCCACTAATTGGCAAAAATGTTTTCCAGAAAAAAAATATACCTGAATGTTACACAAATCTCTCATTTAACAACTTGTTGGTTTTCTAAACTATTTATTCAAATACATGAAGATTATAGTGTCTGAGAAAAGACAAAGCAAGACATCTAAGAGTAAATATAGACAAAAGACTGTTACTACAAGATTATATCCTGTATATGAGATCATGAAAAACCTTGTATACATCAATGACAAAGTTCAAAACAGCTCTCAGATATATGAATAGAGAAATACTGAAAGAAACTGTTCACAACATATAGTATATACTTTATGTTATAACTAGATTATAAAGTTATCATGAGGTGCCCACACCAAAAATATACCTATGATTCCAAGAGATAAAAGAAAAAAAGTGGTATGAACAAAGATACGACTCAATAGCTGATAAATGACCACAAAAAAATTTATAAAAATTATAAGGAAACACAGTGCTGGTTAGATTTCTGAAATCAGCACTGTTTATGAAATCCCAATTTACAGTGTGAATAACTTATGGGAATAGGGATGCATTGCTTGTTGATCTCAAAATGTGTCTTGGGATCAAAACAGATGTTATGAACATATAAAAAAGTGTATTGTGTAGAGTTAATCTAAGATAACTCAACGCTGTAACTGTACACATAGCTAAAAAGAGTGTGTAATGCAATTTTTCTTATTGTACCTTAAATTCCGGTTGCTGATGCATGTTGACCATGACACTGGTGGAGAGGGTTGCTGTGGCCCTACTGGGCTGAGGCAGATTGCTGTGGTGAATGGTTGTGGGAGTCAGGATAAGGTGGATGGTTGTGGTTCCTGGGTCAAGGTAAACTCAAAGTTTGTTACTTATTAGGGTCCTCAGGAATTCTGACAGATCATGAGTTTCTGTTGTGTTTTATCCTGCAGTACTGTTAACAGCTTGCATTTATTGTTAAATGGGCACATTGTATCAGCAATGTTAAACTCATGCCAGAAGTATGTCACTCCATTGTCTGAGTTATTATCTATTGGGACAAGGAGTTTCCACACAAACCTTACATGTTAATGGCACTTAAATGTCTTAACTCCTCAATCCAGTGGTATCATCAAATATGTAGTTTCTGGTAGTAAAAAACACTACAGTACCTTCATATCAGGGGTCCACATCCTGCAAAAGTCAAGGATGGCTACAGGAATGAAAAAGTTTTCTTGTCAGGTACATCATGGATGAAGGAATAAAATTATGCCTGAACTCCTCAATAAACAAGGTTTTTCTCATCCATGCTGTCTTGTCAGACTGCTAAATAACAGGCAAAGAGTCTTTGTTTTTATCTTTCAAAGTGCAGGAATTACAGGAGTGATGAATAAGTACAGGCTTTAGTTTAATATCACCTGATGTATTAGCACACAGAAGCAAGTTAAAACAATCCTTCACTGCCTTAAATCTGGGTGCAACTTTCTCTTGCAACGGCAACTTCCTAAATACACGTGTCTGATCAGTATTAAATACTTGTTCATATCTGTACATACAGAGGGAATATCCTACTTCATATTAAAAGTATTTTACACAAAATTACATAGAGATTTAAGATCACAATTACAAAGTAAAAATATAAGCGCTGAAATGATAAAAAAAAGACTTTCTTCGCAACAGAAGTCACAAGGAGGTAGAAGTTGCTATAGCTACTGAAAAACCTGAACAATTAATATATTACAAAGGACTTTAAACTAGATGTAATGAACAGAGCACTGCTCTTAAAGCTACTGTACCAACCCATGAGGCAATCATAATTATGGTAGAAAGAGCTATAAAAAAAAGAAGAAATTACTGTATTAAATAAAATCATAAAAAGTCTCCATGGGGAAGTGGAGAAGAATCCTTCCTTTGTTAGCCATGCATGTTATAAAGGTGACTAAATTCCGGGAGCAAGGAGCTAGTAACCCCTTCTCCTATATAAATTACTAAATGTAAAAAGAAGAAAAACTTTCTTTTCCTCTTTTTTTGGGTTACCCTACCTCAGTGGGAGATGGCAGGTATGTTAAAATAATAATAATAAAAAACAGAGTCTCCCAGGCAATTATTGAAAAACATCTTACTTACTAACAAGGAGAGAGATTAACTGTTTAAAATTATTTACTAAATCTGGCATGAAAAAAAGAAAATTATAAAGAAAAATTAATTAAGAGTACTTGCCTCTTCCAGTGCTTCATCCACACTTTGTGGTACTGTAAAAGTTAACATGTGTGTGTGCAGTTATCTGGAGAGGAGTGTTTGGGTGCTGCCGCTGACACCGCTCTCCCCCACACACTGAACATGAACGCGGCATTTCTCCTTTATTATCAGAATTTTCTGGACCAGTAATCAAGGCCAAGAGATTTGGGACTTGCCTTCCATCGCTGAAAGATATCAGTTTTTTGTGCTAAAAGACAGTGAACGTATTACAACATGGGAAACTATACTACTACTCTACAGGATCAGTCAGGTTTTAACTCTCATAATATCAAACATACTCACAACAATCGTGTTACTCACCGAAATATGATAAAGGGTAAGGAGAGTCCACTGAGAAGAGAAAAGACTAGTAGAGCTCCTACTAACATACTGTAAAGAAAGAATTTGAAAATTAAGTTTTTAAAAATTAAAATTTCAGATTTGTCATTAGCATACAGTAATTATAAACCTGCAAGGGTAATTAAAAGAAAAAGTAATAATTTTACAGATACACATTTTAAAATAGAAATTACTCTTTATTACATAATTTACAGTATTTATTATATATTAGTAGAGAGACGTATCTTATCTACTCGTAAATTGTATCAATTCAGATACAGTGGAACCCTGAGTTTCGGCTGCCTGAGTATCAGCCGCTTCAAGTTTGGACCGCTTTTTTTCTGCTAAATTTTGTTCCGAGTTTTGCCCTGTGCCCTGTGTTTCAGCCAGCGTACCAGACCTGTCCACCTGCCCGTGTCTGCACGCCTGCGCATGCAGGCATCATGAGCCAGTCTAGCTTTGTTTATCCTTGAGTGAATATTAACCTGCGCACTCATCCAAACATTTCGCAATAAATTCATAACTTCCTAGTTGCAGCCCTTTGATAAAGAAAGTGAGAAACATGATAGAATTGAACGAAGAATGAGAGGAGGAGGAAGAGAGAGGGGAGAATGTGCCTTCTTCAGTGATTCTACGATATGTACGATACTAAAGCAGCATGAGTCAATAAAGGCTATAGTGCCAGCCAGCGATAAAGTGTAGCATTAACCCTTTGAGGTCGACAGGCCCTCTCTGAGACTCGTTCTCAGGGTCGGCCAAATTTAAAAAAAAAATAATTTTTTCTTATGAAAAGATAGAGAATCTTTTCCCGATCATAATGACACCAAAATTATGAAATTTGAGAGAAATCTTACGGAATTATGCTCTCGCGAAGTTAGCGGTCTCGTGATGTTTATGCATCGGTGATTTTGCCCACTTTGAGCCCCATTTTCAGCCAATTCCACTGCACTAGTCGACAAAAAACATGAATATTTCGCTAGAACTCCATTTTTTCTATTGAATGAGTGCAAGAAACCACCCATTTACCAATTTCAACTATCCAGTACAGTGGTCAGAATTTTTGCAATTTTGCCATTTCACACAAATTTCAAAAGATGCCAATTTCCGAATAGGGTCCAGAAAAAAACAAGAAAGACATTTCTGGCACTAAAATGACATTTCTTTGGTTCATTAGTCACGTCTCAAGGCCCTTCTTACATTCTTTTGCTTTCCACTTTGAATTTTTATTTTCACAAAATAGAAGATTTACTGCTATGCAGACTACTACATTAGTGTAAAAATGGCATAAATAATATTGGCGCACTTGCAAAAGAATATTAGACTCACCAGTTGACGTGTATTGGACACTTGCATGATTTGTTTACTTTTGAACTTTGGTAAAATCGAACATTTCTGCTACTTTGAGCTCAATTTCAAGGTACTTTCATTGTAAACCAGTCAAAATCATCTCAATTTCTGTAAAATGTCTTCCATTCTATAAAATGAGACCAAGAAAACTAGAATACAACAATAAATACCATACAAAAATACAGTGCAAAGTCGCAGTTTTATTCCAAAAAAACGGTCAGTTTTATTCCAAAAAAACGGTCAAAGTTTTTTTTTTCTTTATTATGCACTGTGTGCTGCAGGATTTTTTTTATACTGTGCACACTGACCACATAGACCCATTCTTTCATATGTAGGCCTACCAGCTTTCTCCCACTAGATTTGAGGGCGCTAGAATTTAGGCGTACTAGTACGTCAAAAACCCTGGGTCGTAAGCCGTACTAGTACTGCCGAAACCCTCAAAGGGTTAACAGTGTAAGCAAGTTTTGTTAAGCAATTAAACGATAGAAAAATGATGACACGAAACTTAACTCCTCCATTGTTGTTTAAGGTATATAGGGCGACTGAAAACACCGCCACCTCTGCTGCCTCTGCTGACACTTATGCTTATGCTCTCAGTGATCCTTATACACTCAACAACACAACACCAGTCGTGACATACACAATGACGTATTTTTATTCATTCTTTGAGTTTATGTCATGCTTCTATGTTTTTTAATATTGTTTATGTCATATTAGATGAAATGTGATAGATAAATAGGCTGTAGAGTTGATATTAGTGTTATATTGAGAACTATCTTTCCTGCCTCCAAACAAACTCTCCTGCCTCTCTCACATGCCAACAAGAGTCTTCCATAAAGGTAAAACTGATTTAAATGTTCATTTATCCATTAAAATTAGTGCTTTATATTTATTTTCTCATTGTTTTCTGTAAAACTATGGATTTATTCTTTAAAAAATTATTTTTTTTGTGAATATTTTTGAGTGGAACAGATTAATTGGATTTACTGTACATTATTTCTTATAAGAAATATTGCTTCGACTTTAGGCAGTTTCAACTTTACGCCTAGCTCCTGAATGAATTACGGCCGAAACACAGGGTTCCACTGTAGAATGCTTTGTTTTTATTGCAATTTTTATTAAAATTATTATTGTGAATTAATGAATACTTTTAAACCCTTAAACTGTCCAAACGTAGATCTACGTTTGCTCGTGTAGCACTCTGAACGTTGATCAATGTTTTATTTCTCATTCCTTCAAATCTGGTGCACTAAGCCTGAGTCGCCTAGATATGAAAGAATGTGTCTGTGCACTCCGGTGTGCGCAGCAATAAAAAAATCAGTAACCACTTAGTACCTTGTGGGAGCACCAGTTTAACTGAGCGCCAGCTCAATTGATCTCGTGGGCCTCAGGACTTGGTTAGTTACCTGCTGGCCTCTCTGAGGAGACACTTCAACTCTCCTTGGCGGGACGTATTTCCTTTTTCAAGAAGAATTCTACTTACTCAGTAAATGGTGGCGCTAAAAAGTCACGGGTGACGCTATTGTGTAGTGTGACACTGAGAGAAGATAGGGTCGGAGTGTGACACTGAAGAAGGGTGGGATTGTAGTGTGTCACTGGAGGAAGACAGGGTCATAGTGTGACACTGAAGAATAGTGTCATGTGACAGAAACTGTATGCTATTTTGTGGTCTTTGTCGGGTTGGATGAAGAGAATGTGACACTGAAAACCTGCGGACCTTGCTGAACTTTATTACTTTATTTACTGGCCTCTTCTGTGGACTTCTACTGCAGGCCTCACTAGCCTCAGTGGACCTTGCTGACCTCCCGGCTAATTCTACCTGCGTGCATTGCCAGGCTGGCCTCTGAGGAGAAAGACGCTATGCGGGTTATACTGAGAGAAGGGAATGTTATAGCGCGGAGAGATGGTGCATCGTGTGACAGAGACGAGAAGGAGTGTTATAACACAGAGACAAGGTGTCATGTGGACACAGTAGAGAAGGTGTGTTATAATGCAGAGACAAGGGTGTCATGTGACATGGTAAAAGGTGTCATAACCCTGAAAAGGGTGTCATCTGTAACCCTGTGAGTGTCAGGTGACGTGTGTGTGAAATTATAATTAACATATATAATCTATACCAAAGATTATATATGTTTTTTATATTAAATATTGTTGTATTAAAGATTATTTATTATTGTAGATACATCTATAGCAAAGATTGTTTTTATATCAAATATTTTTAGTAAATATGATAAAGTTTTGTGTTTATTTTGTATCCAAACTCTTATGTTACTACACTGATATAAAAACCAATCAGTGTTTTGTAATAATGTCCATACTTATTCTTGTACCTACTACATAACATAGAACACTACACTCTAAAAATAAACCCTCCACTCAAACCACCTCTCCTCACCAACCTTAACAGGACATACAACCATAACACAAAACACAGATCACTTTTTGATGTAACCCTGTGTCCATATCACACTGTGTAAAAACTCTATGCACATAAAGGGCCCCAAAATTTGGAATTCATTACCAGTAAGTATTAACCCTTTCAGGGTCCGTCCCGTAGATCTACGGCTTACGTTCAGGGTCCAAACCGTAGATCTACCCATGAGCTCAGCTCACTCTGATAAACTGTGAGTGTACATTTGGGCCTAGATATGAGAGAATACGTCCATGTGGTATGTGTGCACCACATAAAACAGATCCTGCAGCACATTGTGTATAATGAGAGAAAAAAAAATGAAAAACATGATTTTTTCGATTAAAACAGCAACTTTGCAGTGTTTTTTCGTATGTTTTTTATGGTTGTATTTGCTATTTCTTGGTCTCATTTGATAGAATGGAAGACATATTACAGAAATAGAGATGATTTTGATTGGCTTTAGCATTGGAAATGGCCTGAAACTGAGCTCAAAGTAGCGGAAATGTTAAATTTTTGCCGATATTCAAGAGTAAACAAAAGACCTCACACGTCTAATACACGTCAGCTGGTGGGTCTAATATACATTCACAAATATGATGATGATTATTTATACAATTATTACAGTATTGCATAACAGTAAATCTTCTATTTTTTGGTGTGAATAAAAATTCATTATGTGAATAAAAAATCAAATGGAATTTATTTGTAAAGCCTCAAAACATAACTAATGAAAAAGAGGAAATGTTAGTTTAGTGCCAGGAATGCCTACATTGTTCATTCTGGACCCTATTTTGAAATTGGAATATTTTGAACTTTGTGTTAAATTGGCCAAATTAACAATTTCTGATCACTTTATTTTGTAGTTGAAACAGTTGACTTGGCGATTTCTTGTGCTCAATCGATAGAATAGAAGTAATACTAGTGAAATAGCTAAGAATTTGGTTGATTGGAATAATGTAATTGGCCTAAAATGGGAGTCAAAGTCGGCAAAATCGCCGATTCGTAAATATCGCTGACACATCAAAATTCGCGAGAGCATAATTTCGTCAATTTTCCACAAATTTCGCACTTTTTGTTTTATTACCTTCACAAAAAGATTCTCTACGATTTCATAAGAAAAAATAACAAATTTTTTTTTTTTAAATTCTTGGACACTGGTGCGTGACTCCAGATTTGGGCCTTGGACCCTGAAAGGGTTAAAGTAATCTGATCTGAACATCAGTTTAACACACTTCTCAAAAACCACCTACTCACCCTAAACTAAATACTCAGTAATCAATATTTAACTTTACCA